TGTAAAACAGAAGCAGACACCATTCTTTTCCAGAAGATGTGAAGCCCCAGGAAAGTTTTCATGAAATTCACTCATGAAACATTGAAAAGTTATCACCAAAGTGGACCCTTGGCACATCTTTTATTAGCCTATGTCCTCAAAAGTTTATTGCTGATTGAATAAATGAGTACATCAGTGAGAACAAAGACTGAGATACTGCTTTTGTCTGAATGAAAGTACACTTCCCAACCGCTGATACTGTTTTTCCCATTGGATCAAAGAGATCAATCTTTTTTTTTTTCTGTCATTATACAGACAAGTCAATCTTCCTCTATCCATTCTCTCAGTTTTCTACCTGAATAATTATTCTGTTAAAAAGATCTTATGATCACCTTTGATGAGCAAAGACATATTCACTGTGTCAGACAGCCAAGCGAGCCTATTTTAATAGTCCCTGTTCTTAGCTGTCAGTGGTTTTGACTGCCCTATCGTTTATGAAGATGTATTAGAAGGTCTAGATGCCGTAATTCAGATCACACTGTCAGAAACCAAAAGGCAAAGTCTGAAAAAAAAACCAACAAAAAACAGAGAGAAGATCACACTTGGAACAAAAACTGGAATCACAGAAACTAAGAGATGGAAAAATCTTGGCGGTTATTTAACCCAAATTAATGCCAACCCTGTAATCATCTCCACAATCTCTTGACACGTGATTTCTAAACTTGAATGCTCTTGGGAGCATTTCTTGCGATGCCTCACTACTTATGAGGTTGCCCCTTTCATTACTGGATAACTCTAATCACTGGGAAGTTCTTTCTAATACTGGGCTAAATTTTGCTTTCTTAATTCTACCTATAGGGAAAATGTAAAGTAAATGATTCCTTTCGCCCATGAAACATTTATTGAATATAAACCATTATCACATAGGCTAGACTAGATCATGAAAGGAAAAAAGGTTGGGTAACTGGACTTTATCATTTAACATGGAGATAATTTCTGGGCAGAGCTCTTAATGGATTATGGGGCTCAGGGACAAAAACTGGACTTTGGGCCCCACCAAGAAGAAGGAGCTCTAGAAACTACTGCTGTTACTCCCACCTTAGGCTTTTGGTTGGAATCCTAAGGGGCAGCTATACCATGTGTGAACCAGCCTTCCCAGGACTAAATTCCATTTAGAATCATCTCAAATCCTCAT